CTAGTAAGCGGTGTAGCCAGGATTGATCTCAAGCAGGCTGTCTTCTGAGTCCACCATTTAACTACTATGCAATATTGCCTTTTAATGCACTTAACAGAGCATCAAGCACACAGTATGTATAACAGTTTACTATTACTTAGAGCTTTTGTAGTTGCACTGTAGAGCATGGTTTTTAAAAGCCCATATACAAGCACTGAAGATTATCTTCCTTACTCCTTTTTGATATGTAAAAATTGCTTTTGGGCCAAGAGTACTGTTTTTGAAACATCTTTTGTATAACTGAATCCTATAAGAGAAAATAAAGTCAACGAGCTATTATGAGAAGTCTCAATGCAAAAATAAGAATTAAAAAATCAAATTTGAAGGCACAGCAAAGATAACATTTAGAAGACTCCAGACAAGGCAAAATTCAGAATATATAAAAAATGTTCACATGATTGGAACAAAGGGACTAAACCTGAATCATTCCAATTTTATTGAAGAAATCAGTGATACACTGATCCTAATACACGTATCTAAATAGGAAAAAAAAACCCTTGAAACAATTTTAGTATTTGAACAAGGAAAACTAGCGTGAGAGCTCCCAAGTTTAAAGAACAAGAATTTGACCAGGATGATGTGCCAGTCTTCTTTCACCTGTAACAGTTCTAAGCGTATCTTGTATTACCTTTACAAGAGGCAAGAGATCTGGACTCCTAATAAGCTTTCCTACTTATGAAACTCATGATAACATTCTGATCTTTAAGAAATGTACTTCCCAGCTCATGTACAAGAACTAAAAAATTCAACTTGCACATCCTCTGCTTCATTGTGAGACAGCTGATTAATTAATAAAAGTCACTCGTCCACCCAATTCATTCAGTTGTTAAAAGCATGGGAACTGAATTCTGACAGGCCTCGGTTCAAATCCCAGGTCCATCACTTATCAGTGGACTGAACTAGGCAAAGAGCTTAACTTGGGCCTCATTTTTCTATCTGAAATGACAGGATGCTATCATTACCTCACAAGGCTGTTATAAACGAGGTAGTACATATAAAGCACACCTGGCCCATAAAAAGCACTAGTACAGAATAGCTATCACTGATATTGCCTGCATGGGCTAGCAATGTGTATGATTTTAGCTGATTTGGGGGATAAGTTTACTGAGGTAGGAAGAGAGGCTAAGAGTTAAATTAATTTCAGAAGGCAAATCACAAATGTGGCACCAAATAGTAACACTTTTGAGTAAAGCAGTATCTCCAACTTACCCACCAGTACCCAATGTTTCCAAAATAAAACCTCTTGATACGTGTAAAATGGTCTTACAAGAGAATATGCATAGTTGGAGACAAAATAAACCAGATCAATGTTGAAGATGGCCCTTATTTAAAACTACACATGACTCTTCCTGGCACAGAAACCATTATTTTGTCCTTTTAGCTTTTATTATTTCCTCTCCTTGGTTCCTCCAAGGCAGAGATAACAGATATCCATATGCTGTTATGGATGCTAAAATATGGGGCTAAAATAGCAGGTAAGAGTGTCAAGGTAAACTTCTTTACAGCTAGCTGGTTACAAAAAAAAAAAAAAAAAGTGGCTCTAGTAACAAACACCACGTTAACACCCAGAAAAGTTCTACCTATTTTTGGAAATATCAGTAATAGCTACAAGTCAGAGACATGCACACTAACCTGGACAAGGAAGATCCCAATAAAATTAAAGTGCACTAAGCAGATCAGGTGGTCAATTAATAGGCAATACTGCTCTGGGTCAGTGATGTATTTCTCAGATCAACGACCTAATCTGATATGTAGATAATTGGGGAAGGAGAAAAGGTAAAATGGGAAAGGATAGCCAAAACACATTTCAGTAGTGAACTAAATTAAAATGTCTATCTAAACTATTCATAATAGCATAGTGACATAGCTTCATTTTATTTTTATTTATTTATTTATTTAATTTATTTATTTATGGCTGTGCTGGGTCTTTGTTGCTGCGTGCAGGCTTTCTCTATTTGTGGTGAGCAGGGGCTACTCTTCATTGGAGTGCGCAGGCTTCTCATTGTGGTGGCTTCTCTTGTTGCAGAGCATGGGCTCTAGGTGTGTGCGCCTCGGCAGTTGTGGCTCGCGGGCTCTAGAGCACAGGCTCAGTAGTTGTGGTGCAAGGGCTTAGCTGCTCTGCGGCATGTGGGATCTTCCCGGATCAGGGCTCGAACCCGTGTCCCCTGCAATGGCAGGCGGATTCTTAACCACTGTGCCACAAGGGAAGCCCATAGCTTCATTTTAAATGTTTATTTGAAATTTATCTAAAAAATTTATCTAGGACAGGTCAATTATTTTCTCCCTGTCCTATATAGTTAGCCTGCTAAGAAAATAAAAGTTTTTCCAGACTCAAGGAGAGAATAACAATTCAATGTTCTGCAGTTAGTGAATATCTCAAATCAAAGGAATGGAAATTTTGGGGGTGGGGACGGAGTGCGGGAGAACTGTAGTTATTAGTGCAAACCATCCTTTTCTTCCATTCCATATAAAGATAGAAAAAAATGTATTCCAAGACTGAACCTCAAAAAGGAAAATAAATACTAAGAGAAAAATGTACATTCTAAAGAAACAAAAGGGTAACTAGAGCACAAAGAGAACCAAGATCTGAGAACTGAAAATGGGAGTCTAGGGAGTTCCCTGGTAGCCTAGTGGTTAGGATTCTGGGCTTTCACTGCCATGACCTGGGTTCAATCCCTGGTGGGGGAACTGAGATCCTGAAAGCCATGTGGGAGAAGGGGGGAAGGGAGAAAGGGGGGAAGGGGGGAGGGAAGGAGGAAGGAAGGAAATGGGAGTCTAGAAAGAAAGTGGGACCAATTAATAGCCAAGCTGAGATAGCAGAGAATAAAGATAAAGGCTCAAAATGAAGTTTTTTTAACTTTCTGGACTTACAATTTTTCATTGTCTAGAATGGTGAAAGAGAAGCAGTACTTTAGAGTGGTCCTTTAGGGCAAGCAGTCTAACCTACTTCTCAAAATTCCCTTCTTTACCCATAAACCTATTGTATTTAGACAAGGTAACATTGTAATATAACATAGTCATGTATATTAGGAACTCCATTTGGCTCAGCAAAATCCTGAATCAGACATCCTTAAGCAAATCTAGACAACAGATAAACACACTTTAGACAGTGTATCCTTTAAAATAAAAGCAAAACTAGTACTAGAAACTTTTTTAAAAAAACCCAACTTCTATTATAATAGTGTCATTCCTAAGAAAGAAAAAAGTTGCTTTTAAGAGGCAAAAATGCTTCCTTATTTAGAATCATGGACTTTTAATTAAACTTTAAGACTCTATGGATTTGCAGATAAAGGAACTAATAAAACATAGGAAGGCTGTAAACCTGTTAAAGATTTTAAAGCTAGTGGGTGGCAGAGACTTGCTAGAGCCAGGAGTCTCGTCTCTGGGGTATGCCCCTGACTTACCATCTCTGTAGAAGAGCCTCCCTACCCCTGGGGACTAACGGTACTGAGAAAACCTAACATAATCATTATCTTGTTTCCTAAGGAGAAAATTTTAGAAATTCATACATGCAAGAACTTAATTTTGCCTTTTCCTTCAGTGTTCAAGATCAAAAAAAGTAGCCTGTAACTCTAAGTGGGCAGAAGGACAAGTGAAAACCCCTACATGCATAAACAAGCAGTAACAGCGAGTCTGGGCATGATCTGGTATCACCCCACCACTTTTTCCTTATGAACTCCCCTACACATGTCAAATGACTAGAAGGAAGAGGCTGAATTCCCACTCTTTTTGGAGATGGCGGTTAATTTGCCCCCCATTTACCCTATCCTCAGCTATGAGGGTATAGAGTACTTCCTTGCCACAAAATGTTAGTGAGACCTAATAGACACCACCCTCTATGGTTCCGAAATTACAAGAAAAGGAATCACACCTACAGGTCATCCATGGCCTTTGCTTTATAACAGCTTAGACTGTCAATAGTTTTAATCACAGAACATTTAATCACAGATAGATATTTTTTCTATCTCAAAAGTGTATTTGTAATAAGTTCACCATTCAACCATTCGTAAGTCCTTCCTGAATGTTAATTTTCTCTCTCTGCTAGATTATAAAGTCTCTGAAGCCAACGATCATGTCTTTTAGTTTTTGTATTCCCATGGTATCTATTTATTCTATAAACAGAATAGATACTAAATGTATACATATTACTCTCTCAGTAGCTGCCCTAAACCAACAAAAGCATGCGGCTATAAGAAGAGAGATTTTCTAATAAAGAAAAAAAGAAGAAAAAAAAAACAAACCAAACCACCAGTCTTGTAATTTTGGGAATCCTGCTGTGGCAAAAGCAGCAAGAAGTGGAGTTGGGCTCTCCTAAATTACTGTTTGACCCCGCTTCACAGATTAGCCTTCAGTACAGTTAAATTTGCAGCATGATAAACTCAGGTGTCAATGTTTTATACAGGAATTTGAAGGGTAAGGACCAAAATTCTCAGTGCAATTACAAATACTTCCCATAAAAATAATCAAATGGGAATCCCCTGTGATAAATAATTTCTCAAAGTTTTCATTAAAAACTTAAGAAAAAGGTAAATAAACCAAACTTCTTCATAGAAAAATTGTATTTACAACTCCATTCAAAAGCAGTTTTTAAAAGCAAACAATTTAACACTGAAATTGAGAAATCTATGCTCACCCAAAGTTGCCACGTCTAATAAATTATTAACAGAATACTGCATCAAAAATAAGGCAATAACCCAAGATATCCCATTAACAATTTCTCCACTCCCACAACTAGGAAGAATTAATCTATCTAGTAGCAAATGATACTTCATTCCGTTTCAGCATATCTGAAGTCCTTAAGGGCAAAAGTGATAAAACATGATCTTCATTCTTCATTAGACTCTTAGAACACTTGAAGGAAAATAATTTCTAAAGCACAAAGAGGTAAAGAGGTATAATCCTTTAAAAAGATGTACTCAGTGTTCAAAATTCAAGAATGCAGTATTAATACACAATGGGCGTTAGCTGAACATATGCAATACGGTGATAGCAAATTAATTTATTTAGTACTTTTTCCATTCCATATCATCAGGAGGATTGATTTCAACTTTCCTTTTACCTACATCAGACCAATTGGTACTCAAAACTGTACCACCGGACTCCATCTGCAATAAAAAATAAAAATGGATTAATTATTGGCCCATGTAATCAAAACAGGATATTTTTCTAAAAACATTCCAAGCACAGAGTCCCCAATATAAGCTATGTTTGGCTCAATATACACAAGACAGTATTCTGGTTTAACCTTAGGCTTTCCAGATAAGTTACCATATCGTGTAAAAACCTGAAAAGGAAACTCTAGTTAGGTAGGAGGACCACGTCCACACACACTGCCATAAAGCACATGTCTCCCTGCTAATCAGCACAGAGGTATATGTGGAAAAACCACCTTCAGGTGAAAGTACTGGGTTGGCCAAAAAGTCCCTTCAGTTTTAAAGTAAAAATAAAAGACACATTTTTCATTTTCACCAAGAACTTTATTGAACAACGTATTCACCATTTTGTTCCCCTACCTTCTGCCATTTTTCAGGCAACCTCATAATTCCCTCTTCCCAAAACTTATCTTTTTGAGCAAAGAACTGTTCCAGGTGCCTTTTGCAGTCTTCCAGGGAATTGAAATTTTTCCATTAAGAGAATTTTGTAAAGACTGAAATACATGGAAATCCAAGGGTACAATAATCTGGTGAATACAGTGGATGAATGGGAACTTCTCAGCCAAGTTGTAACAGTTTTTGCCTGGTCATCAAAGTAACATGTGGTCTCGTGTTATCCTGATGGAAGATTATGCATTTTCTGTTGACTAATTCTGAACGCTTTTCATTAAGTGCTGCTTTCAGTTCATCTAACTGGGAGCAGTACTTGTTGGAATCAATTGTTTGCTTTTCCAAAAGTAGCTCATAATAGAGGACTCCCTTCCAATCTCACCATATACACAATGTCACCTTCTCTGGATGAAGACTGGCCTTTGGTGTGGTTGGTGGTGGTTTATTTCACTGGCCCCACAAGTGAAATATTGTTCCACAATATTGTACAGCATCCACTTTTCATTGCCCATCACAATTTGTTTTAAAAATGGAATGTTTTCATTACGTTTAAGTAGAGAATCACATGCGGAAATACATTCAAGGCTTTTTTTCACTTAACTTATGTGGAACCCAAACATCAAAGCGATTAACATAACCAAGCTGGTGCAAATGATTTTCAACGCTTGATTTAGATATTTTGAGTATGTCAGCTATCTCCCGCATGGTATAACATTGATTGTTCTCAATTAATGTCTCGATTTGACCGCTATCAACTTCAACTGGTCTACCCAACCATGGAGCATCGTCCAGTGAGAAATCTCCAGTACGAAACTTCACAAACCACTTTTGATCAGTCAGAGCACCTTCTCCATACACTGCACAAATCTGTTTTTGTGTTTCAGTTGCGTTTTTACCTTTCTTGAAATAATAAAGCATAATATGCAGAAAATGTTGCTTTTTTCCTTCCATCTTCAATATTAAAATGGCTACACAAAAATTCACTAATTTTGATAAGTTTTAAAAAAATGCACCCTGATATGACAGCTGTCACAACACAATCTAACAAAATTGTTTTGAATGAAGCTAAAGACAACTAAGCACTACTAGAGCCATCTTACTGGGGAAACCGAACGAACTTTTTGGCCAACCCAATGAAATTGGCTCCCAAAGAAAACGATAATGTAATCTCTTTTGCTGAGCACAGTGAAGACTTTGCGAAGTAAACTCTTTCTAGTTGGAGAGAACTTTAAGAGCCCCTTCTTAATGTTCTCTCTCTGTCAAATGTACACAAGTATATGCTGGAATTATTTTTAAATCAAGGTACATACATACACAGACACATAAAGTTAGTGTCCCAGTAAAGCACTGGTCATCTATTTACTACCCACTGAGTATAATACCTACTAACAAACCTAGCATATTCATAAATACATTTAAAAAATAAAGCTGTAACTGTTAATGCAATAAAAATTCATTGATTTGGATCACAGCAAAGAACAGAAAATTGTTAAAATCTAAACATTTGAAAATAATCAGCTATGTTACTGGTGAATGTATAAAGTTACATATGCTACCATTACACTGGAGCCTCAAAATAATCCCAATGCCCCACACTCTCTACCAAGCTCCTTTCCATGGGTTCCTTTGCACGGGATGCTCTCCTCTGTCCCGGTTCTTTTTATCTTTAGTTATCCTCCAAACATGACATGTCACCATCTCTCTGTGGCCTTCTTTGACCCTAGTCAGGACTCTAGCTACTCTTGTAGGACTTGTCTATGACACTGCACTGATAAAATTTTACGAATCTGCCTTCTCATACCTGCTTCCCACCCGTGGCTCCAAACTAAAGCTGAGAGTTTCTAAAAGGAAAGAAACATATTTTACCAATACTTATATCCTAGATCTAAGTGCAGTAGCCTGGCACACAGTAGGCTGCAAATAAAATACTGAATAAAATGGGACAAGTTTATATAATAACTACTCCTAAGAGAACTAAAGGAAGCAGATTTAATTTATAATCTGATCATATTTGCTGATGACATTTATTTTCCCCTTTCTTCTTATGGACTGCAGTGCAACTGAGCACTTCCATGATTATTCTGTATATGTTGATCTTTTTGCCCAATTAGACAGAGAGATCAGAGATAAGATAGAGTCTGTTTCTTTGTACAGGCAGACCTCGTTTTATTGCGCTTCACTTTACTGCACTTTGCAGATACTGCATTTTTTACAAACTGAAGATTTGTGGCAACCCTGCATAAAGTGAATCTATTGACGTCATTCTTCCAACAGCATGTGCTCACTTCATGTCTGTCACATTTTGATAACTCTTATATTTCAAACTTTTTCACTGTTATTATCTTTGTTATGGGGATGTGTGATCAGTGATCTTTGATGTTACTACTGCAAAAAACTATGACTTGCTGAAGACTGAGATGATAAAGCTAGCATATTTTAGCAATAACGAATTTTTAAATTAAGGTACATGCATTATTTTTTAGACATAATGTTATTACACACTCAGTAGACTACAGCATAGTGTAAACATAACTTTCATATGTACTGAGAAACCAAAAAAGTGTGACTCACTTTATTGCAAAATTTGCTTTATGATGGTGGTCTAGAACTGAACCCACAGTTTTCCAAGGTATGCCTGTATTCCCCCACAAAGACAGAAGCAAGCCCTTGGTATGTTCCAGGTCAATGCTGCCAAACAGATGGCTTATTTTATGCATACGTATGGTTCAGTTACACTTAGCAAAGTTTCTGTATGAAAATGGACACAGATTCTCTAATATAACTTTGAAATCTCACACACTATTTTGTCCAGAAGTTCTTAAAAGTCAACACTGAAACTGATTTCAGGGAATTCCCTGGCGGTCCAGTGGTTAGGACTCCACGTATCCACTGCAGGGGGCACACATTCAATCGCTGGTGGGGGAACTAAGAGCCTGCAAGCTGCACAGCGCGGCAAAACAAACTAACAAAATCCTGGTTTCTCCTTTTGGAGGCATTGAGTGTACTTTTTCCTAGTCTTCCCACTAAGTACAACTAAAAACCTTGTATGTTATATAAATAACAAATATAAGACAACTCTAAAAGGTGAAAAGAAGACAAATCAGCTAGGGACCTTGGGACCCAAGGAACAACACGGTGGTGAGTTCTTTGGGTTTTCTTTTTGCCTTATGTTTTCCAAGAGCTGGAACTGAAGAGGCTGGAAATGCCAAAGGGTGCAAACAAAAAAAGCCCCAACAAAAGCTTTATTTCTCTAGCCAATGGACAAAGACAAACAGAAAGAGAGGAAACTTTTAGACAATAATCACTCTAGCTAAACACCACAGTAAAAAACTGTGGTCCCATCCCCACCCAGGCCAGTGAAGGCTGAATGAAGAGCCTAAACTTCCACCCATGCTATGCTATCACAAACCGGCCTCCTCTGTTGCCTGTGGTGTCAGTGGAAACCACGTGGGGAGCTAGAATTCCTACCTATTCCCAGCAGTAACAAGGAGATGTCCTGGGGTGTCAACGGAGGTAGAGTGGGGTACCTGGATTTCTACCTCCACCTGGCAATAGTGAGGTAGTGACTTCCCTTCCTTTGCCAGAGGGGTTGTCAGAGAAAGCCATCTAAGACAGATGGTTTAAATAAGATCCAGAGTCTTGTAACATGAAAATGTCCAGATTTCAACTGAATATCACTTGGCACTGGTGAAAAACACCAAGAACCAGGAAGATTTCAGATTATATGTTTAAAAAGAGAAGACAATCAACAGATGCTAACACAGAGATGAAAGAGATGTTAAAATTATCTGACACATTTTTAAAGCAGTCAGGGTAAAAATGCTTCAACAAGAATTATGAACTAGCTTGAAACAAATGAAAAAAATAGAAAACCTCAGTAAAGAAACAGAAGACATAAAGAAGAACCAAATGAAAGTTTTATAATTGAAAAATACACTTGAAATAAAAACGTCAGTGAACGGCTCAAGAGCAGAATAGAGAGAATAGAGCAAAGAATCAGTGAACTGGAAAACAGAACAATATAAATCACCCAATCTGAATGACAGAGACAAAACAGAGATAAAATGAACGGTTCTCAGGAATGTATAGTACTGTAACAAAATATCCAATACCTGTGTCATCGGGTTCCAGGAAGAAGAAAACAAAGAAGGAAGGTCTGAAAAAGTACTCAATGATATAATGAATGAAAAGATCCCAAATTTGGCAAAAGACATAAACCTACAGATACATGGAACTGAGTAAATCCCAACCAGTATAAACCCAAAGAAATCCTTGTCAATAGAAAGAATCTGTTATGGACAGATCTACTCTGAAAGAATGCCCAAAGGAAGTTCTCCAAACAGAAGGAGGGACTTCCCTGGTGGTCCAGTGGTTAAGAATCCGCCTTCCAGTACAGAGAACACGGGTTCAATCCCTGGTCAGGGAACTAAGCCTGTGTGCAGCCAACTACTGAGCATGTGGGGCACAACTAGAGAGCCAGCGTGCCTCAACTACAGAGCCCACGCGCCACAACTACTGAGCCTGAGCACCACAACTAGAGAGAAGTCCACATGCCGCAATGAGGAGCTCAAAAGCCACAGCAGAGGATCCTGCATGCTGCAACTAAGACCTGATGCAGCCAAAAATAAAATGAATAAATATTTTTTTAAAAAATGAGAGGAGACAATGTGTTCAGGAGTTTAAAAAGAAAAAAAAAAGAAACAAACAATGGAAACCTGAAAGTCAGAAAGGAAGAAAGAAAAAGGTCACAATATAGATAAATGCAAGAGTTTGCTTTTCTTCTACGTTTTCTAAATTATTACACTGTATGATGTGGTTTCTAAACATATACAGAAGAATTATTTAAGAAAATTATAAATGAGAAAAAGTAAAAGGACGTAAAGGGAGGTAAGGTTTCTATACGTCATTCAGTGTCAAAAAAAAATAACACCAGGAGACTATGATAAACTAAGTATAATATAGCTAATATAAAATTTAGAGCAACCAAAGATACACTACAAAACACTATAGATAAATCAAGATGAAATTCTAAAAACTGTTCAAGTACCCATAGGAAGGCAGGAAAAACAAATACAGAACAAACAGAAAACTTACATGGTAGACATAAGTAAGTCCTAATGTACCAATAATTACATTAAAAGTTAAGTGGTCCAAATGCATCAATTAAAAGAGACTGGCAGAATAAATTAAAAAAAAAACATGACCCAACATGCTGTCTAAAAGAAATTCCCTTTAAATATGACTTAGAAATCTGAAAAAGAATGAATATATATAAGTGAATCACTTTGCTGTACACCTGAAACTAACACAACACTGTAAATCAACTATACTCCAATAAAATTGTTAAAATAAAATTAAAAATGTTTAAAAAACGACTTAGGCAGGTTGAAAGTAAAAGGACGGAACAAGATATATCATGCAAAAATTAACCAAAAGACATAAGAATCAGCTATATTAACATCAAAGCAAAGAAAACTACCAGAGCTAGAGAATGACATTATATAATGATAAAAAGGTCAATCCACCATGAAAATATAGCAATCCTAAATGCATATGAACCAAACAACAGAGCTGCAAAATATGTGAAGCAAAAATTGACAGAACTTAAAGGTGAAATCAATAAATCCACAATTATAGCTGAAGACCCTCTCTCAATCAGTAGAACAGTAAGACAGAAAATCAACAAGAGTATCAATCAACAGGATCTAAGTGACGTTTATGGAACACTCCATTCAACAAGAGCAGAATATACATGCTTTTCAAGTGGAATATATACTTAGAATAAGAAGTCTCAAGTGAAATCAAAATATATACTGAACTGAATAAAAATGAAAAAGTAACATCAAAATTTGTGGAAGACAGCTGAATTCTTCTGAGAGGGAAATTTATAGCATAAACACATATAACAGAAAAAAGAAAAAGGGTCAAATCAATAATCTAAGCTCATATCCACAGAACCTATTAAAAAAAGAATAACAAAATAAACCCAAAGCAAGCATAAGGAAGAAAATAATTAAAAGCAGAAATAAATGAAATTTAGAACAAAAAAAATAGGAGGAAAAATTTAAGATCAACAAAAAGCTGATTCTTTGGGGAAAAAAAAGTAAATAAAATTGACAAACCCTAGCAAGACAAAGGAAAAAAAAAATGACACAAATTACCATTATAGGAATGAAATGGGTTATCACTACAGACCCTGCAGTCATCAAAAGACCCTGCAGTTCCCTTCAAAGTTGAAGGGAACCCTACCAACACTAACAACTTAAATGGACCAATTCCTGAAAAACAAACTACCACAAGTCACTCAGTATGAAATAGACAACCTGAAGAGTCCTATAAGCTATTGGGATAACGAAATTCATAATTTAAAATCTCCCAAAAAAAGAAGTATCAAGGCCTAGATGGCTTCATTGGTTCAAATAACCTTTAAAGACAAGACTAATTCTACAAATACCCTCCCCCCAAAAAAGAAGAGGATGGAGCACTTCCCAATCCATTCTATGACGTATTACCCTGATACCAAAACCAGAAAAAGCACCAAAAAAGAATACTGTAGACCAACATGCCTCATAAATATAGACACAAAAATGCTTAAAGTATTTAAAAATAGAATTGAGTAATATATAAAAAGAATTATACACTATGACCAACTGGGGTTTATCCCAGGGATGCAAAGCTGGTTCAACAGTAGAACAGCAGAAATCAATCATATTAATCATATAAAATCACCACTTTGACAAATTAAAGGAAAAAAATCGCCTAATCGTACTGACCACATGCAGAAATACTGCAGAAAAAGTATTTGATAAGTCAACAGCCATTCATGATAAAAATCTCAGAAAAAAAGAAATAGAGCAAAACTTTCTTAATTTGATAAGCATCTACAAAAACCCACAGCTAACATTATACTTAATGGTGAAAGACTGAATGGTTTTTCTCTTAAGATGGAGAACAAGGCATCGGTGTCTACTCTCACCAATCTTATTCAACATAGTGCTGGAAGTTCTAGCCAATAAAAGGAAATAAAGGACACACATATTGGAAAGGAAGAAATTAAACTGTCCCTATCTGAAATACCTCCTTAGGTAGGTTTATTCCTAGGTATTTTATTCTTTTTGTTGCAATGGTGAGTGGAATTGTTTCTGTAATTTCTCTTTCTGATCTTTTGTTGTTAGTGTATAGGAATTGCAAGAGATTAAACTGTCCCTATTTGAAGATACAATTGTCTACATAGAAAATCACAAGGAATCACAAAGAATCTACCAAAAAAAATCTCCTAGAACCAGTAAGTGAGTTCAACATGGTAAATACAAGATAAATACAAGATAAACATTAAAAACAAAACAAAAAAACCCCTGTATTTCTAGACACTAACAACAAACACATGGATGCCAAAATTAAACATGTAATACCATTTATAATCACTCAAAAAAAGAACCCAATACTTAGGTATATCTAGTACAACACACAACTACTGAAGCCCACGCACCTAGAGCCCATGCTCCACAACAAGAGAAGCCACTGCAATGAGAAGCCTGCGCACCTCAATGAAGAGAAGCCCCCGCTAGCCGCAACTAGAGAAAACCCACGTGCAGCAAGGAAGAGCCAATGCAGCCAAAATAAATAAATAAACAAATAAATAAAAAAGAAATGTTCTCTATCTTAACTGTCAATATCATGGTTGTAATATTATAATTCTGCAAGACGTTTCTACTGGGGAAAACTGTAAAGGATATAAGGGATCTCTATTACTTCTTCCAACTGCATGTGAGTCTACAATTATCTCAAAATAAAAAGTTTAATTAAAAACAACTTTTTTAAGGCAATAGTGAAAAGCATAATCATGATCAGTTACCACTTGGTAACTTACATGGAATATCTGAGCCACAAACACACTTATTACCTACATATTAATTTTAATTATTAAATATTAACTTTAACTTTCTACTGTAAATATCAACACCTTAAAAGAAGACAGTGACATTTCCAGAGCTACGGGTAGAAGTCAAATGATTACAGCTTCAAGCAAAATCTACATGGTTCTACAGTGATGACTAGTCATTAAAATCTCAGAACTTGATGCCTAATTCAGGTGGTATTCATGCCCTGGCAAAAAGTCTGAATTTCCTTAATCAATACAGAAATTACTAACAAACCAATGAATAATTAATGTGCACCTTCTACTTGGCAAACACTGTTCTGGAAGTTTCCCTTCTATATTCTTCATCTGACACTGAGATTATACATGATACCAGAAGGTAAACACCGGAAGCTCACTCAGCTATTGTGATAAATCCAACTGGAATAACTCTATATCATCCACTAACTATAACCTTGGTATTTCTTAAGACTTCCAAGTTCTAACTCCCTGATGAAAAAATTTATTTGGAATATACCATTTGTTTCTCACCTCCTCCACAAGTTCCCAACTTCCTCAGTAATTACTCTAAGTTTAGAGCAAGAACAAATGTTCAGACAAAGTCCATTCAAAATGGTCTCCCAACTACAGTACATGCAATCTGATCTCAAATTACATACTTATTTTTTTTTAATTTGTGAAATTTACTACTACAATAGATTTTCTTAAAGTTTATGTTCTTACAAATGATTTGTTCATGGCACGTTTCACTTCATCAGAACCATCTGAATAGATCTGCTGAAATAATTTGTTTAAAGCTGCATCTCCCTCCAACTTCTCATTCTTTTCTTCTTCTTTGATCTCACCAACTAATTTATCCCAATTTCTTGTATAATGAGATGATGATGGATACAGGTTCTTTATATCTATGGAGTAGAAAAAGACAAAAGTGATTAATCAACATGTGATTATGTCAAGCATATGTAACTTTCTGACCATGATGTATACAACATCTTAGCAAACAGTTTTAAGTCACTGAATTTCATGTTTGTAATAAATGTCTTTCTGATATATAAATCAATAATTAACATTTACACTTCTAAAAACTGAATCAGTTAGCATAATGTAAAATCTGGGAATTTCTTTTGAGCAAAATAACTCAAAGTGTAAACTTTTGGTACATTATGCAAAATTAGATTAAAAAACAGATCCTTCATGTTAATAATATGAGAAACTGGGTGAGAAGCATACAGGAACTTTTATGTTTACAAAACAGGTGCAAAGATAGTACAAACAATTCTAAAAATAGTAATTTTTAAAAAAGATGCTTCATTAACAAATTTCTCTAAACAGTTTTAATAAATGTTAAAAATGTGGCTTTTCCTGAGGTACTTATATCTTTCAGAGTAGAAATAAGCTGGAAGTATTGAACTGCCAGGCCATCTGCCAGTGAGTTAAGACTCGATCCTCTCCCCACATTAAAAATATCAGATTACTTCAGTAGGAGAAAACAATAAAGAATTCCTGAATGTTGAAAAATACTACACGTGATGATCTAGAGTTCAGTGCCCACATCATGCACACATAGAAAATGATAATATTTGTAGGGCACATTGGGATAAACAGAGGCTGCTTGCAGCCAGAGAGGCAACGAACCCAGGGACTCAGGCACTGCCAACGCTGCCCCAAAGACCAAGGGAATCAAGATCTTCACACACAAATAATTAAAAAGTAACTAAACAGTTACTTAAGAGCTGTAAGAGCAGTTCTGTCCACTACTCAATGGAAATATAATGTAAGCCACAAATGCGACTCACATACATAATTTAAAAATTTCTAGTAGCCACATTACTAAAAAGAATCAGGTGAAATGTATCCTAATTATATGTTTTATTTAGCCTAATACATGCAAAATAATATCAGGTCAACATGAAATCAATATAAAAATATTAAGATATTTTATATTCTTTTTTTCATACTAAGTCTTCAAAATCTGGTAGGTATTTTACATTTAGAGCACATCTCAATCCAGACTAGTCATATTCCAAGTAGTCAACAGGTACAGGTGGCTTGCAGCTACTACCCTGGACAGTACAGCTATAGAGCTTTAAAAAAAACCTGATTCAAAACTTCCCTATGAGTATACTAGGACACATGAATGCTAGTCTAAATGTCCCTCTTGCACTGCTGCCTAGAGCTCTATATATGCCCTTTCTCAAAATAGTTGAGAAACTACTAATTGTTCATTCTGCTTTTCCATCCTTTCTCTTCACCTGTAAACCAACTCCCTCCCTGCTCATCTCACCCCCACCCCACAACAAAACAAAACCACAGCACACCACAGTTTTATTCATGGCAAGCATACTGTTTTCCAAATTTTATCTATCCTTCCTCTACAAGTAATCTCCTCTATCTTCTGTACATTTTCACTACTAGCCAGGAAAACAAAAACATGCGTGCCATGGTAAATTAAGAACCTAGGAAACATGGGTTTAATTAGTCCTAATGCTGATTCGCCAGATGGGAGCACAGTTCTAATCTCCATTTCACAGATAAGAAAGCTGACCCAGATAGGTTAATCAACTTGCCTTTATCTGCAGTCTCCAGCTTGTCAAAACTCTGACAAGCATATTAACTCCTTACAAAAATATAACAGGTCAGGAGGAAGAGCATCTTGAATCTCCAAGGCACTGAGTTTAGAGAGTTTGTAACTATAACACCAAAAAATCTTTAATCTCAGAAAAACGTTAACACCTGTAGAGATGGTAGATGAACTACTGACAGGTAACCTAACTTCCTTGCTTATTCACTATAATATTGATATCAAATAACTGCAAAGATACTCATGTCAGCAGAGACTTCCCATTGTTAAAAATGCAGCAACAAGCAGTATCACACATGGGGTAGAAGAACCAGAGCCAGCCTCTAAATGGCTGGATTTAGTCCCAGACAATGAAAACTGCTAGGTAATCTTAGGCAAGTTGCTTAACCTTTCTGAGCCTGTAAAATAGGAAGAACAATACTAGGCTACCTAATATCAGGGCTGCTGTTAGACTTAGGTGATATACTATATTAAAAGTGTTGATATTTCTTTTAAAAAATGCTTTAAGCTATATATAAACCTCAATCCAAAAGTATCTGGGAGTCAGCCCCAAGAAGAGTGCATAATATCTTTACTATACCTTTCATATAAAGTGGGAAGCAGAAGCTTAATAAACAGCTTATATACCAACTTGAAGTATTTCAATTCTTAAAAATTATCTTTTGGTGTCAATTCCCTGGCTTTGTTAATCATGCTATAGGTTAGTTACAATATTATCATGCAGGGAAACTGGGTGAAGGGTACATGGGAACTCTATTATTTCTGCAACTTCTATTAGAATCTAAAATCATTTCAAAATAAAATTTAAAAATGATATGTTGGCTAACTTAGTGTTTTCTACAAAGTGCCACAAGGAAATTATATTTTCTGTTATAGAAGAAAGCAGTGAAAAATCTAAAAGTAGCTGAAACTTATAGAGTTACCTCTTTTCAGTCATCAAATCAGAACATATCTCTAATCAAAGGAAATTTCTCTCCATTCATTAATGAGGCCATTGCTATAAAATAGTCTTAGACTGTAGTTCTAAGTGTGTCCTACAGATTAATCATTCCATTAGAAAAATACCTATGTGCCTATTGCCTATGCTCAGAACTGACCACAACATAGTCTGTCCCTTAAAGGGATAAGCAATCAACCTTAGTTTTCTATTCTACCCCTAAGCCTGCCTTAGGCCTTCATTAGCTGTTTGCCTCCACCTCTTAGAAATATACTGAGGGACTTCCCTCGTGGTGCAATGGTTAAGAATCTGCCTGCCAATGCAGGGGACATGGGTTCGATCTCCAGTCTGGGAAGATCCCAAATGCTGCGGAGCAACTAAGCCCGTGAGCCACAACTACTGAGCCTGTGCTCTAGAGCCCATGAGCCACAACTACTGAAGCCCGTGCTCCACAACAAGAGAAGACCCCACAACGAGAAGCCCGTGCACCACAATGAAGAGTGCCCCTGCTCGCCACAACTGGAGAAAGTCTGCGTGTAGCAATGAAGACCCAACGCAGCCAAAAATAAATAAATAAATTTATTAAAAAAAAAAGAGAGAGAAATATACTGAAATGGGGAACTTCTCTGATGGTCCAGCAGTTAAGATTCGACGCTCCCAATGCTGGGGGCCTGTTCGATCCCTGGTCGGGGAACCAAGATCCCACATGACACAACTAAGTCTGTGTGCTAAAACTACTGAACCACACAACTAGAGAAGCCCGCACACCACAACGAAGACCCAGCAAAGCCAAAACATGAGAGAGAGACAGACAGAGAGACACAGACATACAGACATAGACAGAGAGAGAGAGGGAGAAATGGGCTAGATACTTTTCACTGTGAAGCCTTGAAATTCCAGGAAATTAGAGTTGACATAATTAGAAGAAACAGAAAGGAATAAATAAGAGGGGAGAAGGGAAGAGGAGGAAATACATCAGCAGAGAGTAAACTACTAATTCACGTAAAACACAGAAAGAAAAAATAGGAAAGGCCAACACACAAAAGCAAACAACCCCCAAATGATGTCACAAACTGACATGATAAACAACAAATCCCAATTCCCTCTGGGCTTTTGCTGCCATTTATCTGTATTCTTATGGAGTTTAAGAAGTTAGAACCATCATAAGAAATACTCTGTTTTCATTACAGAGCAACCTCCTTATATTCAATGTATCTTATCTTGGGAACATAAATAATGAAAATAGAATACTCATTACTATTTAATTTCAACTATATAACACAATATGAATTTAAAGCTCATCAAGGCCAGAAAACAAACCTGTTATGAACCGTCTGGGGTTAGGCACATCTCCTTGCCCCTCTAGCTTTTCCCATCTCACAGCCTCTGGCTTTTTCATTTTAATTTCAATCTAGAGAAAACACCAAATAAAATCTATTATTCAATGTAAAATACACAAAACAGTGAAAAAAATGCAATTTCTTTAACTTATCAATGTTTTATAAGAATAGTGTCCTCAGTTTCCTTAAACTATACCAAGTTAAATTCGAAAAACTTGAAACATTTATTTTGTTTCTACTTAAAAGCCACCCTTCAAAAACAATATACATACACACTATAAACTACAATTAAGAGTCTTGAAATCCACATGCTTTTCTTCTTCTAAAGCAGTGTTGTCAACCAGGGGTAATTTTGTCCCCCGGGGAAATCTGGCAATGTCTGGAGACACTGCTGGGTCATCACAACTGAGGTGGGAGTGAGGAGTGACTAGGGGTACTACTAAACATCCTACAACATGCAGGGCAATTCCCATGACAAAGAATTATCCAGCCCCAAATGTTAACAGTGCCCACCACTGAAAAACCATGTTCTAAAGGAATTACTATATTTCCATGTACATTAACCTGTTTTAGAGTAGAGAAATTCATTCCATTGTATAAAAATGATACAAGTGAAACTGAGGGCAGCCACCAGGTAGATCCCTTAAACTATAACTTGCTTGATAAATAACATCCTGTAACCTGCCTTCACTGATTAAGCTCACTTTTATTGTTCTTGCAAACTGCATACCCTCCAAGTTTCATGTAACCTGAACAACATATCACAAGACTCCTTTAACCATCCCCTATATAAAACACCTCTGATATATGGGGCATTATAGTAATGGTAACTGTTTTCCAGGAACATGGAGCTACTCTTGCCCAGTCCAAACCAGTCAAGACCACTGACCACTCAACTGGGCCGTCTCGAGTATCTCATGGATGACCTTTTGACATCAGAGGGCAAAAATCTTCACCCCCCAAATCATGCTAACGCCATTTTCTGAACATGCATCCCATGAAGAAGCATGTAACTCAGATATGCCTACACAGAACACCAATGACCTCACTTCATCATCGTTTCCCACACCTCAGACCACCTTGCTTCTTTATCCCACAAATATCCCAAGCCCCTCACCTCTGGTGAGGCAGATACAAGATTTGTTCTCCCATCTCCTCATTCGGCTGCCTCACGAACAAACCCTTTCCCTTTTGCAAATCCCGGTGTCCCAGTGTTTGGCTTGCTGTGCACTGGGTAAATGGACCTGGTTTGGTAACACAAGTTATGCTAACATTTTTACATATTTTTTACAGACCATGAGGAGCTTCGGAAGGCTTAAACTAAGGCCATTTACTACAATGAAATGTTAAAAGCATCCTAAAAGCATCTTTAACTCTCTAATCAAGGCTGCTCCCTTAGAATCTACCCTTAACCGTAACATACACTCGCATAGCACTTACCTTATGCTTTCCTTATTCAAATAATGCTCTCGCCCTCATTTTTAGCCTAGCAAAAATAAGCATGTACAGTGCTGGTAAACACAGTTATAATTATTATGGAAATGGTTTAAGAATCAAATTAGAATTTTATATTCTAATGCTTTTTCTAAGAAAAGAATTACTAGTTTTGTAAGTAGAAAAACACCCAGAAGACAGACTTTACAAAAAGAAAAGCCTACTGTGTCACACTTTGGTTCTTTGACCCCTTTGGGGAAGATGAATCATTTAAATTAACAATTACTGGTAATCTTTCTACCAACAGCATTTAGGGGGAGAATCCTTAAAATGTGCATTTTAAAATACTTTAACAAAACACTAAAAGAAATCTGCCAATATTTTCAGTCAGATATGAAGTGATGGAATGGAAGGGTATTTTCTTAAGGCGCATAGAAATGTAACAAAAAATGTTTTCATGAGAAAAGCAGGAAACAAATCTCACTAGAAAAGGGGCAAAACAATTAGCATTTTTAATGTAATTTACATGTTTAAATTCTACATAAATAAAATCAAACATTTAAAAGGATCTCCAGAATTCCCTAAAATGAACTATGATTAACTTTTATAAAGTAAAATACTATCAATATTTTCTCATACACAGTATTAAGTGAAAGTACTCTGATTATTTTAAGCTGTCACTGCTGGGATATTTATCAAAAAGGGTCAGAAATCCAACAGCTGCAATGACACAGAAATAGTTACTGAAAAGGACTATTAATATTATACTAAAATTTAAAACTGCATCTTGCTCCTTTAATTTTCAACTCATCCAGAAATGAAGACCTCACAAACAGTGTGTACATCAAAACTATCCTTAACTAACCTCAGCCACGGGGCACCGTATATTCACACGTGTTCCTGAGCTAAGCACCATCTATAAAAAGTCCCTTGTTTCACATGAAGAGCACTCACATCTCTGAAAGCCTCTATAACCTAAATAATTGTGCACTATGAACAAAGAGGCCTTTATAAAGCCAAAGCCCTAAGTCACAACCTGTTTCAACTGAGACATGCTGACCTGAACTTGAAATTATACTTAATCCATTCATTAAAAGAGGTGCACATAATAAAGCATTTAAAACAGCTTTTTTAATAGGTAAAAGGGGGGAGAGACTAATATTCTATGAATTCCTTTTTACACCTACTTCACTTTTAATGCTTATATATGCTTTTAAAAATGATTCTGACAGATACTTCTCAAATTACCACCAGTACAATTTCAGATATTTTTATTGGGACCATTAATCAGCCATTCTATTTTTATTTAAGTCAAAAATAATTTAAAAGTTAACTTAAAACTTTGGTAGTTTATAACCTACTGTATAGCACAGAGAACTCTACTCAGTGCTCTGTGGTGACCTAAATGGGAAGGAAATCCAAAAACGAAGGGATATATGAATATGTATAGCTGATTCACTTTGCTGTACAGTAGAAACAAACACAGCTTTGTAAAGCAACTGTACTCCAATTAAAAAACAAACAAACAAACAAATCTTTGGTAGTTTGCTTGAATGTTGCTCTCATATGCACAGGGAAGGCTTTCAATGTGCCATAATATCCCAAAGCAGCATTCACAAACTACTAATAAGAATCCCTCCTCTGTTGGGTTGTCAGTTTTCAATATTATGTGTACTACCACCCACTTCTAAGGTCTCCTTTGCACAGCAGAGAGTTTAATTTTTTCCAATGAATGGAACTTCAGGTTTAAAGAAAAGTCATACTTCTAAAGGGTCAAGGCTCTTCCAGACACTACCTTCTTAAAAAGAGGTAAGTGACCTCCCACTTACTACTACAAATTGATGGTGAAGGAATCTTTCCCAGAGACTAGAGGGCTGTGCAGTTTACTGGTAAACATTTTTTTCTGGCAGACTTTTGAGAACCATCTGTTTCAAGTCTGCACTCAATAAATGTTTCCTGATCTCTAGAATGCAGCTTTTCCAGTATTCTCTCACTCAGCTCTTTGCACATTTAATTGCTGTACCAAAACCCTCTGTCCAATATTAGAATAGCTCGGTCTTCCCTGAGGCCAGACTGCACATCTACTGTCTTTATTTTTACACTCAAATCATTTTATAATTGTTTTTTTTTTTTTTTTTTTTTTTTGGTGGTACACGGGCCTCTCCCGTTGCGGAGCACAGGCTCCGGACGCGCAGGCTCAGTGGCCATGGCTCACGGCCCAGCCGCTCTGCGGCATGTGGGATCTTCCCAGACCGGGGCACAAACCCGTGTCCCCTGCATCGGCAGGCGGACTCTCAACCACTGCGCCACCAGGGAAGCCCTATAATTGTTTTTAATGCAAAAGATGGTAATGAATGAAGAGGAACTGAATAAACTTCTCCGAAGTTCTAGAAGCTCAGTTCAAGTATTTATTGAGTACCTACTGTGAGCCAGGCACTATGCTGGTGCATAAGACCACCACCTCTATTCTTCTTGAAGCAATCAATCAGAAGATACATTCCCATAAACAAAAAATTCCAGCATCCATCATCTGTAGTGACAGACCTAAGTTTTGGGAAATATCTAATTATCTGGAAGGAAGTATGCCAAAATGTCATCAGTAATGAGACTGAGTGATTACATTCTCAGCTCACTTACATTTTTCCAAATTTTCTATGATATGCATTTATTGCTTTCACAACCTGAATAAAAACTAAATCATCAGTATTAAATAATAATAGCAGTAATATTTATTGAGCACTTATTACATACCCCATGTACTAAGTGCTTCATATATATCATCTCACTTAACAGAAAGTGAGAGGAGAAAACCACCTATATTTTAGAGATGAGAGAGCCAATAAATAGAGTAACTTGCTGGAAGTGTCTTTTTCTGCTAGAAGTTTTACTTATTTTATTTCCTCAGAAATAAGCAGAGGTTGAAGGTTGAGGACAAGTCAAAAACAGTCAGCTGTGTAATTCCAAAGAGTCACAAATAGGTGCCACTTGCTGGATGTATGACTAATCACACTGAGCCTCAGTTTCGCTTGTAAAATGGGATTAATAGGGTCTACCTCACTTAGCATTCTTTTGAGGATTAAATAAAACCACGTATGAAAACAATATAGCATTGTGTCTGGCAAGTAACAACTGAATGCTATTATGAATATCTTCATCATTGTTACAATCAGCTGAAAATCTGGGCAAATTATTTTACATCTCTAGGTTCAGTTTCCATACCTGTAAAAAGGTAATAACAATACCTACACCATTCAGTAACTGTGAGGATTACCTGGGATAATACACAGCAATCAAAACAGTTACCTACTGTAATTCTCCAAAGGTCAAACAACATGGCATTGGCTAAATAAGCTACAGTAAGTGCCTATCATGAAATACTTTGCTGTAAAACATCTAAGGGCATAAAAAAAATACCCATAATGAATAAGTTTAACAAGACAGCTACAGACAGTATGGACAGTAAAATCCTTTTCTTTTGAAAATAAATGTATATACATTAATAGAAAAGGCAGCTCTACAATTTGTGGATGTCAGCAACTAAAGTTATTTAAAAAAACAAACAACTACAACAACAAAAAAAACCCTATTACCACGACCATATCAAAAAGGCATAACAAAACAAGAATCCAAAACCCCA